GCTGCACTTTCCTCACGCTGTCAGATCGTGAGGAAAGTACTGCCGAGAACCGGCAGTTGTCAGAGCGGGGATCGGCACCGATCATCAGGGCACTGATGATCAGTGCCCTGATGATCGGTGCCCAGCAGTGCCACCCGCAAGTTCCGCCCACTAGCTCCGTCCACCTGTGCCCAGCAGTGCACCCACCTGTGCCACTCTGCAGTGTCACACACCTGTGCCCAGAAGTGCCACCTATCAGTGCACATCAGTGCTGCCTCATCAACGCACATCAGTGAAGGAGAAAAAATACCTGTTTGAAAAATTTTATAATAGAAACAAAGAAACTTTTTTTTTTCAAATTTTTTGCACTTTTTTTATTTATAGCGCAAAAAGTAAATCGCCCAGTGGCGATTAAATACCACCAAAAGAAAGCTCTATTTGTGAGAAAAAATGATCAAAATTTCATATGGGTACAATGTTGCATGACCGCACAATTGTCAAAGTGCGGCAGCGCTGAAAGCTGAAAATTGGCCTGGTAAATAAGGGGGTATAAGTGCCTGGTAGGCAAGTGGTTAAGCAGAGCACCATTTTCAAGCAATATGAGGAAGAAAAAGGATCTCCCTGCTGCCAAAAAGAGTGAAATCGTTCAATGCCTTGGACGAGCTATGAAAACATTAGATATTTCACGAAAACGTAAGCGTGATCATCGCACTATTAAGAGATTTGCAGCTGATTCAGAGCACAGACGAGTTTGTGCAGATAAAGGCACATTGAGGAAGATTTCTGCCAGATCCATGCATTGTATCAAGAGAGCAGCTGCTAAAATACCATTACATAGCAGCAAACAGATATTTGAAGCTGCTGGTGCCTCTGGAGTCCCACGGACATCAAGGTGTAGAGTCCTCCGGAGTCTTGCAACTGTGCATAAACCTTCTATTCGGCCACCACTAACCAATGCTCACAAGCAGAAACGGCTGCATTGGGCAGAAAAATACATGAAGACTAATTTTCAAACAGTCCTATTCACTGATGAGTGCCGTACAACTCTGGATGGTCCAGATGGATAGAGTAGTGGATGGTTGGTGGATGGCCACCCTGTTCCAACAAGGCTGCGACGTCAGCAAGGCAGTGGTGGAGTCATGTTTTGGGCCAGAATCATAGGAACAGAGCTGGTGGGTCCCCGAAGGTGTAAAGATGACCTCTGCAAAGTATGTAGAGTTTATGACTGACCACTTTCTTCCCTGGTACAGAAGGAAGAACTATGCTTTCCGTAAAAATCATCTTCATGCATGACAATGCACCATCTCATGCTGCAAAGAATACCTCTGCATCAATGGCTGTTATGGGGATAAAAAGAGAGAAAGTCATGGTGTGGCCTCCATCCTCCCCTGACCTCAATCCTATTGAGAACCTTTGGAGCATCCTCAAGCAAAAGATCTATGAGGGTGGGAGGCAGTTTACATCCAAACAGCAGCTCTGGGAGGCTATTCTGACATCTTGCAAACAAATCCAAGCAGAAACTGTCCAAAAACTCACAAGTTCAATGGATAATGGATGCAAGACTTGTGAAGCTGCTGTCAAATAAGGGGTCTATGTTACAATGTAACGTGACCTGTTAAATGTTTAAAAAGTTAAAATGTTGTTAAAAGTTTGATTGAAATAGCTTTTGATTACAGTAAATACAATTTGCATAATAATTTGGAACACGGTATATGTGTATCAAAGTCAACAATCAAGAGAAGACATCACCAGAGTGAATACAGAGGGTTCACCACAAGATGTAAACCACTGGTGAGCCTCAAAAACAGGAAGGCCAGATTAGAGTTTGCCAAACGACATCTAAAAAAGCCTTCACAGTTCTGGAACAACATCCTATGGACAGATGAGACCAAGATCAACTTGTACCAGAGTGATGGGAAGAGAAGAGTATGGAGAAGGAAAGGAACTGCTCATGATCCTAAGCATACCACCTCATCAGTGAAGCATGGTGGTGGTAGTGTCATGGCGTGGGGGGCATGTATGGCTGCCAATGGAACTGCTTCTCTTGTATTTATTGATGATGTGACTGCTGACAAAAGCAGCAGGATGAATTCTGAAGTGTTTAGGGCAATATTATCTGCTCCTTTTCAGCCAAATGCTTCAGAACTCATTGGACGCCGCTTCACAGTGCAGATGGACAATGACCCAAAACATACTGCAAAAGCAACCAAAGAGTTTTTTAAGGGAAAGAAGTGGAATATTATGCAATGGCCATGTCAATCACCTGACCTGAATCCGATTGAGCATGCATTTCACTTGCTGCAGACAAAACTAAAAGGAAAATGCCCCAAGAACAAGCAGGAACTGAAGACAGTTGCAGTAGAGGCCTGGCAGAGCATCACCAGGGATGAAACCCAGCGTCTGGTGATGTCTATGCATTCCAGACTTTAGGCTGTAATTGACTGCAAAGGATTTGCAACCAAGTATTAAAAAGTGAAAGTTTGATGATTATTATTCTGTCCCATTACTTTTGGTTCCTTAACAAGTGGGAAGCACATATGCAAAATGTTGTACTTCCTACACCGTTCACCTGATTTGGATGTAAATACCCTCAAATTAAAGCTGACAGTCTCCTGCTAAAGCACATCTTGTTAGTTTCATTTCAAATCCATTGTGGTGGTGTATAGAGCCAAAAAATTTAGAATTGTGTCGATGTCCCAATATTTATGGACCTGATTGTATATATGTATATGTGTATATAATATATATATATATATATATATATATATATATATGTGACAGACCCTTTTTAATATCAGTCATGCACACCTTTCTGGAAAGAAATCATGCTAGATACAGTATGTACATTTTATAAAGACAAGAAAACCTACTGAGCTAACAAAAGTGTAGAGACAAACCAGCTGTGAACCATCCGCAAGTCAAGGACTGCTAAAACTGCTGACATAACAAACAGTCCGCCATCTGTGTTTGTGCTGCTTTAGGTATTATTGAACAGATTTACTGAAACCTAAACAGGTTCTACTTTTACACAAAGGGCAGTCCATCGCTAATAAAAAGGGTGATTGTTAATGGAATTATCGTCATCCGTGGCCCTCCTGCTAATATTTGAAGGTCACATCCCATAGATCATTTATTTTAACCACATGAACTGCTTAGCACTTTATGGTTGAATTTCCCAGAGTTGTGACCCAGAGAACGGATTTATCCCTGCCAGGACACTATGGAACAAAGGAAATAACTGAAGTTTTTACTGCCCATTCAAAAGATATCTTGGTTAATGATGTCACTTGATTAAAAATATTATAGCGGAGCTCCACCACCTAAAATGGGAAGCTCTGCTTTAAAGACTCATCCCCTGCTCCCCATTAAGGACTGGCACCTTTGGGGAGAGTGGGGAGCGGGTACCTGAAATTGTCAATCACAGTCGGTCAGCCAAAATGAGGAAAGAGAAGGGGCGAGGCCAAGCTGCGGCTCCGTGTGTGAATGGACACAAGGAGCAGCGGGAGCCCCCATAGCAAGCTGCTGATTGCTATTGGGGCACCCGACAGAAAGGAGGAGCCAGGAGAGCCTCAGGGTACCCAAGAAGAGGAGGCTGCTCTGTGCAAAACCATTATAGTATGTTTGTTATTTAAAAAAAAAAAAAATTAACCTTTAGTATTGCTTTAACCATTTCAATACCGTGCAATTTTACACCTTCCTGCCCAGGCCATTTTTCATGTTTCAGCGCTCTCACACTTTGAATGACAATTGCGTGGTCATAAACAACAAACTAAAATTTTATCATTTTCATCACACACCTAGAGCTTTCTTTTGGCGGTATTTAATCACCGCTGGGGTTTTTATTTTTTGCTAAATTAACAAAAAAAGACCAAAATTTTGAAAAAAAAACACATTTTTCTTTGTTTCTGTTATAAAAGTTTACAAATAAATAATTGTTCTTCATAAATTTAGGCTGAGATGTATTCTGCTACATGTCTTTGGTGAAAATAACCCAAATTAGGATGTATTATTTAGTTTGTAGGAAAGTTATAGAGTTCACAAACTATGGTATAGATCTGAAAATTGATCAATCCTGAAGTACTGACAGCCAATCTAATTTCTTGAGGTCCAAGAATGTCAGAATAGTACAGATATCCCCAAATGACCCCTTTTTGCAGAGTAGACAGTCCGACGTACTTCATAAGAGGCATGGCGAGTATTTTGAAGTTGTATTTTTTTGTCATAATTTTTCGGAAAATGAAAAAATTAAAAAAATTATTTTCACTATTTTTTTTTTTTACATACTGTCACCAGTGCAGTACAGCGTCATCATATAACTGGCATGGCGGTGAACAGGGACACTGACTGGTGACAGTATGAAAAAAAAAATATATATATATTTTTTTTTTAAAATTTTTTTTTATTTTTTCATTATTTTTAATTTTTTATTACATTTTTTTTTTTATTTTTTTTTATATTTTTTTTTTCATATTTTACTATGACCAAAGTAGTACAATGTTACCATAGTAACATTGTACTACTTTGGGGAAGTGATCAGTATTTTTTTTTTTTTTTTTTACACAATTTGCTTATAGCAAAGAACTACTTTGCTATAAGCGAGCATTTACCTGAATGAAATCGATTCATTCAGCCTTTTTTTTTTTTGTGCTTAGCTGTGATTTGGCCACAGCTAATCACATGACATGTATACAATGGATGGCATGAATGAAGCCATCCATTGTATACAACTGTCATGTGACCTGGTGGGATTGGTCACAGCAGGTCACATGGTACCAGCAACGAGAGCCGGTACTCAGATCTGTCATCGGCCGTGTCCGAGGTGCACGGCCAGTGACAGATCGCGCTGCTGCGCCGCTCTGCAGTAGCGCAAACTGCGCATGTTCGGGAGCATGCCAAATGGCGTGCACCCGGAATGCATGCAGCAACACATTTGAAGCCGCCAAACGGCCATTGGCTGGGCGGCTAATGGTTAAGCACCTAATACTAGAAGAGTGAAACACAGATATGCAGTTATTGGATACCTTTTCATCTCGAAAATTAAGAAATTGCTGGAAAACATCACTCTCTGATATAACAGGATGGCGGCACATTCGAGACATCCATGCTTGTAATCTCTCCATACGCATCTTTATAAATTCTTCCTCAAAACGACCTTAATGAGAAAGAGAAAAGAGAAAAATGTCTATTAAACATGTACTTCCCTATGTATTAAAAAAAAGTGTGCAGGCTTAGGAAATGGTAGACTATTATAGGTGAACACATGTATAGTCAATATCAATTTCTTTTGTAGGTGAATAGGTGAAGTGTGCATTTGTGATAAGCATCAAGCACTATGACAGCTTGAGAGGAGAGCATGTAAAGACTCTTTCATGTCAGTTAAAGTGGTATTAAACCCAAAAGCAAAAATGTAATAAACTGCAGCTTACTTATCATTAGATGTGGTGGCTGCATTAGTCTCCTTTGCCCTTTCTTTCAGCTGGTGATCCAGCCAATACGTCTTATTTTTCAGCTTACTTTAACATACCAAGCTATCCAGACAAAGTAGTAATTAGAGGGTTAAGGTGATTGTATATAGGCATTTATTTCATGTTTTAAATAAACAATGGCTTTGCACAAAGCAGCCCAGATCCTCCTCTTCTCGGGTCCCCTGATGGCGCTCCCAGCCCCCCTCCCCTCCGTTGAATGCCCCCACAGAAAGCTGCTTGGTATGGGGGCACTTGTGCGTGCTCACTCCTGAGCCACTTCTGTGTGTCTAAAAAATACACCGTGCTGCTCGCACCCACCCCTTGCTGATTCCTCACTAGCTGTGATTGACAGCAGCAGGAGCCAATGGCTTCTGCTACTGTGTCTGAGCCAATGAAGAGAGAGAGCCAAGAGAGCCTCAGCTCTCATGCACATTGCTGAATCAAAATTGGGCTAAGGTATTTAAGAGGGGGGCCGCACACAGAAGGTTTTTTTTTACCTTAATGCCTTTAGAACCACTTTAAGACAAACCATTTACCACTGACAGGGGTGCTTACAATGGTCAGCCTTTATTCATTTACGTAAAACCTTTTGTATCTGCTTGTAAAGTGTTAGCTGGAGTTCAGGTTCAATTTGTTAGTTAAGTCCATGTAAGCTCCAGTTAAAACCTAAAAAAAAATTAAAAAAGTCAGCAGCTACAAAAACTTTAGCTGCTGACTTCTAAAAAAAACAGCCACTTACCTGTACACGATCCAGTGGTGTACTCACCCCAGCCAGTTTCACCGGCCGTCCTCGTTCCCTGGTGCAGGCATCTTAAGTGTGGGCACCCGGCTGTGACAGCTTGCGGCTTCACAGCTGGATGCCCACTGCGCATGAGCGAGTAGCGCTGCACCTTATGAACGGCCCGTAGTCTTCTGGGACTTGTCACGTGTCCCAGAAGACTACGGAGAGGGAGGGGGGAGGACAACGTCTGCTTCTGATCGCCTAGACGATCGCAGAACTGGGAGCGGGTACTTGTCAAAATATGGTACTTATCAAAATCTGGTATACTTTCCCCAAAGGTGCCAATTCATCACGGGGAGCGGGGAACCAGTACTTAAAGCATAACTTCCCCTTTTGGGTGGAGCTCCTCTTTAATATTGGCAACATCATTCTACATTCAATTTATTGTTTCTTTGGACATTAGTTTTATCATGTACAATGCGAAGATGCACAATCCCAACATTCCTACTATAGATAGCTGTATGCATAGGTGGATGTTGCAGTGACCGTTGGCTGGAACTGAGCAGAGTCAACAGAGAGAAATGTCACAGGCACACTAAGGATCTCAAATATGGGTCCAAAAAGGCTTTAATGAAGGTTTACATAGTTACAGCAAGGCAACGTTTCGGAGTCTCGCATGACCCCTTCATCAGGCATGTGACCTACATTCCCGATGAAGGGGTCCTGTGAGACTCCGAAATGTTGCCTTGCTGTAACTATGTAAACCTTCAGTAAAGCCATTTTGGACCCATATTGGAGATCCTTGGTGTGCCTGTGACATTTCTCTCTGTTATCATGTACAGTGTCACAATACTGGACCCCGTCATAGATTACAAGTGGCACTAATATTGATAAAATTGCATTATGCAGCATTAATCTTCTGTTTTACTGCTATCATCACTACTGAAATGGTATCCAGATTAATGATGTTGAGTTACTGTTTATTAAATATGGAATGTTTAAAAGTGAACTTGACCCGGCCTATAATGTATCTAAATGCCACAATGAGGGTAAAGTGCTAGCCCCTTGTGCTGCCTACAAGTAATTGAGCTAGTCCTTAAAACTGATCCCAGTGGCCCAAAGGACTGGGGCCCAATAAGTGGAGATTAACACTTCATAACCCTGGGCGACTGTAGCAAGGATGTCCACACCAATTTAGCACCATCAGCATAAGTTGGTTAATTTGCCAGTAACTTTATGACTTAATTACCTAAATCATTCTCACATTTTTATTATACAAACTGACACAGGGACGAGTGTTAACACACAAATGTAATATATTACAGGTTACCAATCCCTTGATGTGGTGGCTGCATTATTTTTCCTTTTCTGTTTTCACCTGATGATCTGGCCAGTAACACACCTTCTGTATTAGCGTACACCCCACTCTGGATGAAGGAGCACAGTGGGCACAGCAGACAGCAGCATTGTTAATTTGAGGATTGGGGTGGCGTGTGTGCGTTAGACGGACTGGCAGATTTAGATATAGTAACAAATTGAAGCCAAACTCCAGCTCACACTATAGTTACAAAAGCAGTTACAACAGTTTTTTTTTCTTTTGGGAAAAAGGTTTTGCATGGATAAATAAATGCTGATCATTGTAAGCACCCTTGTCAGTGGTAAATGGCTTGTCTTGACACTCTTAATCGATACATTTGCAGGAGAGCTTATTCTGTGAAAAAAAACAGACTTACTGGCAAGATCCCCAGGTGAAAATAAAGGAAAGAAAGTCTAAAAAAAAACTAATGCAGCCAGTACATCTAAAGATTGGCAAACTGCAATATAGTTTTGCTATTTGGGTCAACCTTTCCCCGCTGGAGGCACACTATAGGCGGCCTCTTGGTGGTCCCATGTAAACACTTTTCTGTAATGAGAGCGTGTGCCCTGTTCGCTCTCAGCACAGTGACTGGTGGGGACAGAAAAGCTTCCAATGCATAATTGTGATCGGGACCTTTCCAGTCATTTGACTGCTGCGACAGCCAAATCACAGGGGTCACATGACCCAAATGCCTGCCTCCACCTCCCAAAATTTAGAAGCTCTTAAAAGGCCGGGAGGTACAGCGGAAGGGGTTAAGGCAACTTTAAGACACAAGACAACTGAATTTGGCAGGTTTGTTTGTAAACAAACCCCTGTAATCCCCTGAAGTCCTGGTTCACACCGAATGAGACTTTGAAATCACGTTACTTCACTTGAAGTAGCGCAATTTTAAAGCTGCAGGTCAGTACGATTTCATGTGCAGCTCGTCTGACATCTGTGCGACTTCATGCAGAGATGTCTATGCAAGTCACACATGAAATTGCAATAAAATGGTGCAGGAACCTTTTTTTCCCCAAATCAGTGTGGCACTGCAAAGTCGGAGTTGAACTGATTTGAACGGTTCTATAGGAACAAACAGGGTGCGACTTGTCATGCGATTTGGAACTTTCAAATTGCATGACAAGTCACACTGGTGTGAACCAGGGCCAAATGCCTGTCATGGCGATCACATGATAGAAAAGGAAGAAAATTGATTCCAAAACTTGCTGAAGAACATTAATCTACATACATCACCCAGGATAGACTTACCCCCATTCCCTCTCTGTGCAAGACAGTCATATAGTAGTCAAAACCCAGAACTAGAATGGGAGTACAGGCTTTGGTATTTGAAATTTGAATACCATGAATGGGCCTTGACAACTGAAAATGGCGAAGCCTAAAAAACAAAATAATTTGTGCAAGACAATATCCTACAGGAAACCTTTGTCTGCCTTAAAAATTATATATGCATTACTTTATTATCTCAAGAAAAGATATTAATATTATTATTGTTGTTGAATAGGCCCATAGCAGAAATTTACAAATTGCTCTGGTCCATAGGCAGTGTACAGGTGTGAGAGCTGAAATGGTTATAGTAATATTCCAAGTCATAGGGGTTTATTTACTAAAACTGGAGCATGCAAGATCTGGTGCAGCTCTGCATAGAAACCAATCCGCTTCCAGGTTTTATTGTCAAAGCCTGATTGAACAAGTTGACATTAGAAGCTGATTGGCTACCATGCACAGCTGCACCAGATTCTGAGTGCACCAGTTTTAACACAAATTTCCCCCATTATACACAAATTAGGTACAGGCTACATCAGGGGTGGGCAAACTTTTTGACTTGAGGGCCGCAATGGGTTCATATATTGGACCCGGGGGCCGGACCAAGAGTAGATGAATGATGTGTATGTGTCATCCATAGTAAGTATAGTAATATTCCCCCATAGTAAGCATAGTAATTAATCCCCCATATAGTAATTCATCCCCCATATAGTAATTCATCCCCCATAGTTATTCATCCCCCATAGTAATTCATCCCCCCTATAGTAATTCATCCCCCCTATAGTAATTCATCCCCCATATAGTAATTCATCCCCCATATAGTAATTCATCCCCCATATAGTAATTCATCCCCCATATAGGAATTCATCCCCCCTATAGGAATTCATCCCCCCTATAGTAATTCATCTCCCATAGTAATTCATCCCCCATAGTAATTCATCCCTCCTATAGTAATTCATCCCCCCTATAGTAATTCATCCCCCCTATAGTAATTCATCCCCCATAGTAATTCATCCCCCATAGTAATTCATCCCCCATATAGTAATTCATCCCCCATAGTAATTCATCCCCCATATAGTAATTCATCCCCATATAGTAATTCACCCCCCATATAGTAATTCACCCCCCATATAGTAATTCATCCCCCATATAGTAATTCATCCCCCATATAGTAATTCATACCCCATATAGTAATTCATCCCCCATATAGTAATTCATCCCCCATAGTTATTAATCCCCCATATAGTAATTCATCCCCCATAGTAATTAATCCCCCATATAGTATTTCATCCCCCATAGTAATTCATCCCCCATAGTAATTCATCCCCCATATAGTAATTCATCCC